GTATGGCAGCCTGTGCCAGTGGGTTTTCCGTGCCTCACGTGGCAGAGCTGGCTGGGTTTCTCCAGAGGGAGCAACCTTCGATCCTTCCTGATCCTTCTTTTTCGTTGGAAAAGACCTCTAAGATCATCAAGTCCAACTTGGCAGTCTAATCAGCACTGCCAAGGCCACCACTAAACCACGTTGCCAAGTACCATATCTTCGTATCTTTTAAACACCTCCAGGCATAGTGACTCCACCACTTCCTTGGGCAGCCTGCTCCGGGTGCCTGACAACCCTTTCAGGGAAGACATTTTTCCTAATATGCAATCTAGACCTCCCCTGGCACAGCTTCAGGCCATTTCCTCTTGTTCTGGTGCTTGTAACTTGGAAGAGACCAGCCCCCACCTTGCTACCACCTCCTTTTCAGGAGTTGCAGGGAAGAGTAAGGTTTCCCCTCAGCCTTCTTTTCTCCAGACTAAACAATCCCAGCTCCCTCAGATGCTCCTTGTAAGGCTGTAGTTTTCTGGCAGGGTTGTGGGACAATGGTGCCAGCTCAGCCACAGGTGACTTCCCTGCCCCAGGTGCTCCCTTACATGTGCTTCGCACCATCGCTATTTCAGGGCTGAAACTGGGGTAATTATGCTGGTTTTCTGCCCCCAAGAAAGGGGGCAGAAAGAAAGTATGCAGTTAGAGATGCTCTTAACTGCCCCTCAGGTGAGCCCTCTGCTCCAAAAATGAAGCCAAACTGGCTGTCAGAGTGGGATGTCTAGTTACACCAGGCTGACAGTCTCAGAGAGCAAGATCCAGCCAGTGTCATTATTTCCTATGTTGATGGAAGCAGCTTTCTCCCTCCAGCACTGCCCTGATACACCAGTGTGTTCCTGGCCTCCAGACCTGGCAACCAGAAGGGTGAGCATTGCCCAGAGTCAGGCAGGGTCAGCATTCTGTGGCAGTGTTTTTTGCAGCCCAGCCCTGGAGTGCTACGTTTCCCCTTATCATGACTGTGCATGAAATAGGTGTTGAGGAGACGTGAGAAGATGGGGAGCTTCCTGTGTTGGCTCACAGTCCATAAGAAGTCAGCCAAAGACTCCATGTCCACTGAGTGTGTGGCCTTGTCAGAGTCTCCAGGGGGTGGAGGGTGCTTTCCCATCTTCAGCCCTTCCTGGGAAGTGTCTGTTCCCAGCCTTGTCAAGTTCAGCACCTTTTTGTCACTAGTACACATTTGACACAATTATTCTGGTGGACCCACTTCCACTGAAGGTGTAGGTCTTCTTTGTTCATCGCCTTCCTTAACTTTCCATTTTCTCATCCTGGTTTCCTTTGCTTGCTGAAATCAGTTTTCAAATTCACCTGTGGTGTAAGGAGCTAGCTTCCCAGAGTTTTGTCTTGTGTGGGGTTAGTGCTTCTTTTCTCAATTCCAAAACACATAGAGCTTAACAGGTATCAGGTGGTGCAGTTTTTGGAGGTCCTTAATACAAAGAAACACAAAACTGTTGGAAAGGGGAAGGTTTTTAAAATAAAAAAGAAGATGACCAAACTGACAAGACCTGACTAAGCTGTAGGAGTGGCAACACCACCTAGATCGATGGTTTGGAAATTGAAGCTGTGGGTTGCATCAAGGCAGGAGGCAGATCAAAGCTCAGTCACAGTAACAGGCACATAGTCCAGCTGGGGACTAGCCACTTTCAGGGCTAGCAAGCACTGTGGCATGGGTGGGGGAACTGAAAGGGACATGTGTCAAGCATAGGAGCAGAACTGAAAGACAGTAAATGGCAGAGGGCGAGTTTGATTGTGATGTACAAAGTGTACAAGAAACAAAGCTGCCCAAAGGAAGAGCTTCTGCGTGGAGAGTGGCCTTTGTGAGCTACAGGAGTTGTAGGGGGAGGCAAGAGAGGAGAGAAGGGACCTCAGCACCAGTGCAGGATCCTTCTGTGCCCTGCCAGCTGGACAAGCCAGATCTACTAGTAGGAAGGCATGTGCAAATATCGTTTGGGTGTCTGGTAAAAAAACCCAAACAACTAAAAGGAAACAATCCAGTGGCCTGTTGTTGGGCAATACTGAAAATAGATGGGGAACTGGAAAAAAAAAAAAAAAGACCACATTCAAAATAAGGTGTTTGAAGGTATGTAATCATGCTAAGCTTATAATAAAATCAGTAAACATTGTCTCTTAAGTAAGGACATTTCACTGTTTCCTTATAGCAGATACCTTATTGACAGAAAACCTTACAGCAGCCCTTATGGAAAAGCTGTGCTTGATACTTTTGAAGATACAGGATTACAGCTGTGGGGCTAGAGGTAACTGGGTAGAGTAAGCAACCCGTGTTTGGGTGAAGGCAGCAGCCACACACAAAGATCAAACAGCGCAGTATTAGTCAGCTGAAATGAATGCAGCACGCCTTTTTTTGCTGGTTTGTCTAGACATTTAACTGCTCTGATGTGTCACATCAAGAGATTCCCAAGCCACAATCCCCGTGTGCCACCTAAAACTCTGGGGTAGGTGCTGGTCAGATCATGATGCTAGAAAACACGAGAGGAACCATACGGTGGCTAAATTAATGAGACCACTATTGGAATGAGAATAGGTTATTGTTTTGGAAGCTGAATGGTGTCATGCCATGGGAAATGCCCCATGGAATAAGGCCATAGCAGAGTCCAAACCATGAGACTGTTTTTCATACTGGAAGCAACCAATTCTTGTGGCTGTACAGCGAGGGGCCAGAACGGCACTGTTGACTCCCCTGTAGCTGTCAGTGAATCCCTTGCATCATGAGGAGAAAATAAGCCCTTATGAAGGATCCAGACGTGTACTTTCCTGTTCTGCCATAAGCAGAAGCTGACATTCTTGAGGGGAACAGTTCTGTGGGGAGGGAGCACACCTGTGCCTTGTCTGCCCTGAGGAGTGTCGAGCTGGGGGGCAGCCAGGTGCAGTGAGGCAGCTGAACCCAGGCTGCAGGTACTTGTTGCTTTTGGGTCTGCCCACTTCCCTGATGGTTGTGTGAGGGACCCTGGAGGTGCCTCAGAGCCATGCTCAGCATGTCCCCTCACACTTGCTGTAATCCAGGTTTAAAGCATAGACCCAGGTGTTGCTTTTCTTCACCCCCAGTGAGATGCTGGCGTGGGCCAGCGCCCAGATCCACTGCCAGTTTCATGCCAGTGAGAACCGGGTAGTGCTCCCTCCCTCCGATGGCAGCAAGCACGACGTGCAGGCAGAGAACGAGACCGTCTTCGTCCCCAACAGAGGTGAGTGCTACCCCTGCAACCCCAGGTAGGCAGAGCACAGCAGGCAGCAGTCACGCAAATTGTGTTGTGTGTCTGGGTGGCAGCACATGTGGAAGTGAGCGGGAAGTCCCTGCTGCTTTCCTTGTGGGATTCCCTGGAGATACCTGCTGCAGAAACTTGTTAATACTGAGATCAAAGTGACACTAGCTTGGAGCAAAATGTGAGGGTTGTCTGTCCAGCTGCTCTGAGAATGTCTCATGGTCTGACCAGGGCATGAGATATTTCCTCCTCAGCCTCTTCTCTTCCCCTGGCTGCCCTGGGCACTGCTAAAGGCTGGTCAGCATTCATGTGTTTTTTCTTCTCTTGCAGGAGAGCGGGGCCAGTGTATCCTGTCCACCCCACCAAAGATTCTCTTCTGTGATTTGCGACTGGATCCTGGGGAGTCGAAGTCCTGTGAGTCCCGTCTTCTCTTCCCCAGCTCAGAGAACTCACCTCTGGGTTTCCCCACTCTAAAGCTGCTTTGCAGACCTGAGTGCTGCCAGACCTGAGTGCTGGTGGCAGGCAAGGTGCTTTTCTGGGACTGTGACTGCTAAGGACCTGCTGCATTGTCCAGAGCCTGTTCTCCACCATATGAGGGCTGCATTCTGCAGTGTGCCCTGCAGCCCTGCCCCTGACTTGTGTCCTTTGCTGTAGGTCCCTTGTGTAGCTGTGAGGCACAAAATGTTTTGAAATACCTGGCTGCAGCCAAAGGAATGGTTACACAGACCTGCATTTCCCTGCCTTTATTTCTTCAGCCACACTGGAGGATTCTTGGGATTTAGGCTTATTTCCTTCTGAAGGTCCATGCTTCCTTCTCAGGTTGTGGCTGTCCGGGAGATCAGAGTCTTCTGCCTGTTTTCCTGCTGTAGAAGTGAGCACTTCTCATCTTCTCTGTGCAAATGTCTCCATGTCTCCAAAGCCTTCAGGTGGTGTCAGATGGTGTCACTGAAAGTGATTCCTCTTCAAGCTCTCCTTCATCACGACTTTCCCTTTTGCTGTTCAGAGAAATTTTAATTGTTTTCGCAAGGAATTTGCAGCAACTCATTTTCCTTGTTCCAGATAGCTTCTTCTACCTGAGTACATGGTGACAGCTGTGGAAGCACAAGTGTGTGCTGATGTCTCTGGGTTGGTGGCTGCGTGACCCAACCTGTTGATTCATGTGGGACCTGCTTTGCATTCCAGCAGCCCATGGTCTGGTGGCAGCTCGGTGTTAGGCATTGCAGGCTGCACGTGGACAGCTTCCTCGGGTTGTCGTAGGCATCTGCTGCTAACCTCTGGTGGAGACCTCTCCAAGGAGAGCAGAGCAGCAGTGCCGGTCATGGAGGGAGCTCAGCTTGAGCCTCAAGGTGTGGGGAGGAGAGAGCAGAGCTGCCAGTGAGACCAAGGAGTCACAGGCTGTGATGTGCTGGCTTTGAAGCTGGAATCTCCTGCCTTTCTAGGCTTGGAGGAGAAGGCGGACATGGCAACACCAACCTGGTTTGGCTTGGTGGTTAGCAGGGTGGGGCAGTGTCTCCTTAACTACACCACCTGTCATTTGAGCACATTTGGTTATTTGCTCACTATTATACAGTGGCATGTGGGGAAAAGGAGCTGGCCCCTTTGCCTTCTGACAGTAGCTGTGCCAGGCATGAGGCAGAGGCAGAAATCTCAGCTGGCCTGAGACTCGCCTGCATTCTCTTGCACTCCTTACTGCTGGCAGGTGTGGTGCTGGAAGCTCCCCTTCCCTGGGAGCAGGGAGAAAACCCTTTTCCTAAAGGTTTCAGGCAGGCTCTGGGAGAGCAGACCAGTGACTACAGCGCAACCTCCAGGTGGCTGGGATGGATTGAGAGGATTTTCTTCTTTCCGGGCTTTGCAGGCAGAAGCTGCTCGGCCCCCAGCTAAGCTAGCGACAGCCTGCCCTTCCCAGTGGTGGTGTGTGTGTGTGTGTCTGCTCTGCCACTGGGTGACACTGGCACAAGCAGCCTGTGCCTGCTGAAATGCTCGTATCGCAGCCCCGGCTCTGCCAGGCTGCTCACAGGGGTCCTGTCGGCGTGCAGTGCTGCTCCTCCCACACGACACAGCAGCTGGCACACTGACAGATCATTCCCGGGGGCCCCTGCCAGCGCCATGGAGGCAGAGTTAAGGCTGTGTGGGTGTGTATCTTAATTCTTCATTTCCTGTTTTTCAGAAGTTTTGAGTTTTGCTGCACGGTTTGGAAAGGCAAAAAAACCCCCAAACCCAAGCCCCAAGAAATCTTAATTCTGCTTCAGCAAAGTACTGTGTTATTAATCGGCAGCCAGAACTGGCATGTGGAGCTGAGGTTGTGTCAGGCTGCCTTGTTTTCAGTTGCTGACCAGCCTATTCCCCAGTATCTTTGCCTCCTTATGGTGCCTATATGCTGAAGCTGACTCACCTCCTATTCTCCTGACACACTGCCCAGACTTGGCTCTTTAAGTTTGTCACCATAAAACATTTTCTGAAGCCATCAAGTAATTTCTGTGGCTGTTTCTGCCTTCTCTCTGGTTTTGTAATACCTTTAAATATTTGGTAGATCACAGAGAAGAGAGGAAATGGGATCAGCCTGGCCACAGGCCAGGAGCCCAGCCAGAGGGTACAGCGGGTGGGCAAGGAAGGCATCCGTAGCACCAGGAATGTGCTTCCTTCTGCGATATGCACGGAAGCTGGGTCTTCCTGAGTCTCAGCATTCCTGTGCCAGGTAGCCAGCCACCCATCCCCCTGGGATGGTAGTGGTCTTTGCTTAGGTTATCAGAGTATCCTCCCTGGGTGTGAAGGTCTTCATGAGCACTCTAGTTAGACCTGGTACAGGGCGTTACAGCAGTGGGCTTCCTTCCTTGGAAATACGTGATTTTCCTCCCTGTCAGGACAGTTCTCAGCTTTATTTGCACCCTGGTCCAGGCAGACAGCCTTGTGTTTTAAGGTGTGACAGCCTGTGGACACTACTCACCGAGCATGGGCTTTCTTTCTTCCTTCGGGATCTGTTATTTTAAATTCTAGAGGTTACATTTAAAATGTAATCCTATCTTTTAATCTAAGCCTCGATGTTTAGGATGTGCCAGACACGGGAAAGGATCTGGTTTCCCAGCAGGATGCTGCCCTTCCTCTGGCAGGGTGTATCTGCGTCATGGTGGGCAAGCCAGAGAGGTGGAGACTTTCCACAGTTCACTGTTTGCGCCTTTCTTCTTAACACAGCGTGTGGTTTGGGAAAGCTGCAGAAGTGTTCACATTGTGTTGAGAAGTGTCAGGGTTTGTGTGGTAGCCAAGGGGCTTGCGAGAGGGCTGGTTGTGGTGTAAAGCCAGGCCCTGGCACCTCTGAGATCTTAAGATTCAGAGGCTTTGTGGTCTTAAGTCATCAGTCTGTCAAGGGAGATATGCCACAGGTTGTTGTGAAGGTCTCTTAATTGTTTCTTGGCCATTGAGACACGGTACTTCAGAGAAAAACACAGGAAGACACTCGTTTTTGTTGCTGAGTTTGGAGTTTGTGTGAAATCAAGCGTGAAAGGAGGCATGAGATACTGATCGGCACCTCTCAGCCCCATGGGGCAGAGCCCTGGGGAAGCAGCAGTGTGTGACTGCGCCCACGAAGGCAGCGTCCCAAGGAAGCGTGCAGAGGCAAATTCGGGTTGAACTCGTGATGTGTAAGTTTAGCTCTCATGTGTTTGTGTTCCTGGATTTCACGTCTTCCACATTCTTTTGAGGCAGAGTTAGTGTGTGTGGTTGTATGTGCTGGAAGCGATGTCTGGATGATGGCGCGTGTGGTGTGAGGAGCAGTGCGGTGGAGCAGGGAAGCTGGGGCTGAGCTGGGCCTGCTGTGGGAAAGAGGAAATGGCAGAAAGCACCAGGCAGTGGCCCTTACTCAGCCCTGCTGTTTGCCCTAACCCTTGGTGCAGGGAACCTGCGAGCCACAGCTCCAGGGGCTTCCTTTGGGCCTTGGAAAGCAGTCTTTCCTGTGCTCCTTGCAGACTCGTACTGCGAGACACTGTCCATAGACGGCCCTCCCTCGTTCCGGGGGCAGTCGGTGAAGTACGTGTACAAGCTGACCATCGGCTGCCAGCGCGTCAACTCCCCCATCAAGCTCCTGCGGGTCCCCTTCCGCGTCCTCGTGCTGCACGGTAAGGCCACATGCTGCCCTCCCTGCAGGCACAGGCCTGGTGGCATCCTGCCCTGCTGATGTTCTCCCCCTCTTCCCAGGGCTCAAGGATTACCAGTTCCCTCAGGATGAGGCTGTTGCGCCCTCAAACCCCTTCTTGGAGGAAGAGGAGGGCTTGAAGAAGGACTCTCGCTTGGCAGATGTGGCAACAGAACTGCTCATGGTGGCCACCTCCCGACGCAGCCTGCGTAGGTCCTATTCTCTGCTTGAACCTGCTGTCCTAACCTTGGCCATGAAGCACAGTTCAGGGCTTGCTGCAAAAATCTAGCTGGAAAAGCAGAGCTCTGACTGTGGCTGTGGAGCAGCTCCATCAGGGCTTTCTTGGGTCAGAGTTTCCCACGGGGTCCCTCCTGCCAGTCTCAGGCTCTTCCTTATTTTTCCAGAGACCCTCTCCCTAACGTATCACAGCCAGCATGGTTTTGCTCTGGGTCAGGTCAGAGCTCACTGCAGGTGTTTCCTTCACAGCCAAGCAGCAAGTCTCCACTGCTGGGCTCTGTGTTTAACCCAGAGCTCTGTATGGAGTAGAGCCTCATCTTGCCACAATCCTTTTCCCTCTCTTCTTATTCCACAGACCTGTATAACATCAGCAACACACGTGGGAAGGTGGGGACATTCTGCATCTTTAAGACTGTGTATAAGATTGGAGAGGATGTCATTGGTACCTTTAACTTCTCTGAAGGAGACATCCCATGTCTGCAGGTCAGTCCTGGCTTTGAGGTCACGGTGGGGCAAAGCAGGGGTTTGGGGTGAGGGAAGGGACTGGGGTGGCACTAGATGGCTGTGGGGTTTCTAGTGGGACGCAGCTGGTGTCTCTTTGGTGGGTGAGTTGGGGAAGGGCTCCAGTTCTGAGCTCATTTGTGAGTCAGAGGCCGCAGAGCTTTGTGCTGGGGCTGTGTGAGGCTGTGAGACCGAGCACCCTGCCTGTTGCCCTGCAGTTCTCTGTGAGCCTGCAGACGGAGGAGAGCATCCAGGAGGAGTTCCAGCGCCGGCGGGGGCAGCCCGGCCACTTTACGACGCCAGGAGTCCTGCCTGCACACAGCCCAGAGCAGCTTCAGCCTGCCCATCCCACTCAGCTCCACCCCAGGATTCACCACCAACATCGGTTAGTGGCCACCAGGGAAGGGACTCACCTCTGCTAGACTCCCCAGGAGGACTCCATGTCCCTAGCCCTGTCCCCTTGCTCAGCAGGGCTGTGTCCTGTGGGAGGGAACTGGCCCATGTGAGTGGGCTTATTTGCATGTCCCCTTGCTAGAACAGCCAGTCCTGAGACATCTGCTGTCCCTGTCCCTTGTGGTGTCGGCTGCTTGCTTGTCTCTTTCCCCCCAG